CCTGGGCTACAGAGCAAGACTCCATCTCACATAATAATAACAATAATAATAATAATAATAATAATAATAATAGAAACCTTCCAACTTCACCTTGAAACTTGGTTACCAGCTAAGGACTTCATTTCCCAGCCTCTGTGGCAGCTCCATGTGGCAAAAGGCATACAAACAGAAATGGTATGTCTATCTCTCTCTCTGGCAAAAGGCATAGAAACAGAAATGGCATATCTAACTACCTGTATGTGGCGTTTTTCTTTTCTGCAAGTGCCTGAAACATAAAAGTGACATCAAGTCATCTTGGACCATGCAGATGAGAACAACAGCTTGGGGATTACAGAGTAATAAAATGGAAAGAAGACAAGAAATAACCAAAATCAGAGCTGAACTGAGGGAAACTGAGACACAGGAAACCATTCAAAAGATCAATGAATCCAGGAGCTGGTTGAAAACACCAATAAGATAGCTAGAATGCTAGCTAGACTAATAAAGAATAAAAGAGAGAAAATCCAAATAAACACAATCCAAAACAAGAAGGATATTACCACAGACTCCACCGAAACACAAACAACCATCAGAGAATGTTATGAACATCTCTATGCGTATAAGCTAGAAAATCTAGAAGAAATAGATAAATTCCTGGACTCCCAAGACTGAACCAGGAAGAATTTAAATCCTTGACCAGACCAATAACAAGCTCTGAAATTCAATCTGTTATAAATAGCCTACCAACCAAGAAAAGCCCAGGACCAGATGGATTCACAACTGAGTTCTACCAGATGTACAAAGAATAGCTGGTACCATTCCTACTGAAGGTATTTTTTTAAAAAAATGAGGAAGACAGAATCCTCCCCTAACTTATTCTGTAGTCCAGCATCATCCCGCTACTAAAACCTAGCAGAAGCACAATAACGAAAAAACTTCAGGCCAATATTCTTGATAAACATAGATGTAAAACTCCTCAGCAAAATATTGGAAAACTGAATCTAGCAGCACATCAAAAATCTTATCCAACAAAATCAAGTAGGCTTTATACCTGGGATGCAAGATTGGTTCAGCATACACAAATCAAAACATGTGATTCATCACATAAACAGAACTAAAGACAAAAACTATATAATTATCTCAATAGATGCAGAAAAGGCTTTTAGTAAAATTCCACACCCCTTCATGTTAAAAACTCTCAATAAACTAGGTATTGAAGGAATATACCTCAAAATAATAAGAGCCATCTATGACTAACCTACAGCCAACATCATACCGAGGGCAAAAGCTGGAAGCATTCCCTTTGAAAACTGGAACGAGACCAAGATGCCCTCTCTCACCACTCCTATTCAACATAGTATTGGAAGTCCTGACCAGAGCAAACAGGCAAGAGAAAGAAATAAAGGGCATCAAAATAGGAAAAGAGGAAGTCAAACTATCCCTGTTTACAGATGACATGATCCTATAACTAGAAAACCCCATGGTCTCAGCCCAGAAGCTCCTTAAGCTAATAAAACAACTACAGCAAAGTCTTAGGATACAAAATCAATGTGCAAAAACCACTAGCATGCCTATATACCAATAACAGTCAAACTGAGAGCAGAATCAGGAATGCAATCCCACTCACAATTGCCACACATGCACGCAAATAAAATACTTAGAAATACCAGCTAACCAGAGAAGTGAAAGATCTCTACAACGAGGGCTACAAAACACTACTCAAAGAAATCAGAGATGACACAAACAAATGGAAAAACATTCCATGCTCATGAATAGGAAGAATATGTCCTTAAAATGGTCATACTGCCCAAAGCAATTTATAAATTCAATGCTATTCCTATTAAACTACCAATGACA